CAGAGGAGATAAGTAGAAGGACAACAACAGAGAGTAGCAGCTCTTCATCAGAACAGATTAAACCATGGAACAAGAAACAAAGGAAACTGAAGAAAACCGGAAAACAAGACACAAAATGGTAGTGGTAGGCCCCCACATCTCAATAATCACTCTAAATGTAAATGGATTGAACTCCCCAATCAAAAGACACAGAGTGGCAGGATGGATCAAAGAACAAGACCCAACAATATGCTGCCTCCAGGAAACACACCTCAGCCCCAAAGACAAACACAGACTCAGAGTGAAGGGATGGAGAACAATACTCCAAGCTAATAATGAACAAAAGAAAGCAGGTGTCGCTATACTAATATCAGACAAGGTAGACTTCAAAGCAAAACAGATAAAGAAAGACAAAGAGGGGCAGTATATAATGATAAAAGGGACTCTCCACCAAGAAGACATAACACTTATAAATATATACGCACCCAACACAGGAGCACCAAAATTTGTAAAGCAACTCTTAATAGAACTAAACGAAGACATCAACAACAATACAATAATAGTAGGGGACCTCAACACACCATTAACACCAATGGACAGAACATCCAGACAGAAAATCAACAAGGAAATAATAGAATTAAATGAAAAATTAGACCAGATGGACTTAATAGATATATACAGAACACTTCATCCAAAAACAGCAGGTTACACATTCTTCTCAAGTGCACATGGAACATTCTCAAGGATTGACCATATTTTGGGAAACAAAGTGAACATCAATAAATACAAGAGAGTTGAAATAATATCAAGCATCTTTTCTGATCATAATGCTATGAAACTAGAAATCAACTACAAGAAAAAAGCAGAGAAAGGTGCAAAAATGTGGAGACTAAACAACACGCTTCTGAACAAACAATGGATCATTGAAGAAATTAAAGAAGAAATCAAATATTATCTGGAGACAAATGAAAATGAGAACACGACATACCAAATTATCTGGGATGCAGCAAAAGCAGTCCTAAGAGGGAAATTCATTGCAATACAGGCTCACCTCACTAAACAAGAAAAAGCTCACATAAGCAACCTCAAACGACACCTAACAGAACTAGAAAAAGAAGAACAAACAAAGCCCAGAGTCAGTAGAAGGAGGGAAATAATAAAAATAAGAGCAGAAATAAACGATATTGAAACAAAAAAGACAATAGAAAGGATCAATGAAACAAAGAGTTGGTTCTTCAAAAAAATTAACAAAATCGACAAACCTTTAGCCAGACTCACCAAGAAAAGAAGAGAAAAATCGCAAATAAATAAAATTAGGAATGAGAGAGGAGAAATCACAACAGATACCAATGAAATACAAGGGATCATAAGAGAATACTATGAAAAACTATATGCCAACAAATTGAACAACCTGGAAGAAATGGACAACTTCCTAGACTCCTACAACCTCCCCAAACTGAATCAGGAAGAAATGGAGAATCTGAATAGGCCAATCACAAGTAAGGAAATAGATATGGTAATCAAAAACCTCCCCAAAAATAAGAGTCCAGGACCAGACGGCTTCTCTGGAGAATTCTACCAAACATTCAAAGAAGACTTAATACCTATTCTTCTCAAACTATTCCAGAAAATTGAGAAAGTTGGAGTACTCCCTAACACATTTTATGAAGCCAACATCACTCTGATCCCCAAACCTGACAAGGACAACACAAAGAAGGAGAACTACAGGCCGATATCACTGATGAACATAGATGCAAAAATCCTCAACAAAATTCTGGCAAACCGAATACAGCAATACATCAAAAAGATTATACACCATGATCAAGTGGGATTTATACCAGGGACACAGGGATGGTTCAACATCCGCAAGTCAATCAACGTGATACACTACATCAACAAAATGAAAAACAAAAACCACATGATCATCTCAGTAGATGCAGAGAAAGCATTCAACAAGATCCAACACCCATTTATGATAAAAACCCTCAATAAAATGGGTATAGAAGGAAAGTACCTCAACATAATAAAGGCCATATATGACAGACCCACAGCCAACATCATACTCAATGGACAAAAACTGAAAGCCATCCCTCTGAGGACAGGAACAAGACAAGGGTGCCCACTTTCACCACTCCTATTCAACATAGTTCTGGAGGTGCTGGCCAGAGCAATTCGGCAGGAAAAAGAAATAAAAGGAATCCAAACAGGTAATGAAGAAGTAAAACTCTCGCTGTTTGCAGACGACATGATCTTATATATAGAAAACCCCAAAGAATCCATAGAAAAACTATTAGAAATAATCAACAACTACAGCAAAGTAGCAGGGTATAAAATCAGCATACATAAATCAGTAGCATTTCTATACACTAACAATGAACTAACAGAAAAAGAACTCAAGAACTCAATCCCATTCACAATTGCAACGAAAAGAATAAAATACCTTGGGATAAACTTAACCAAGGAAGTGAAGGGTCTATACAATGAAAACTACAAGACTTTCTTGAAAGAAACTGACGACGACATAAAGAGATGGAAAGACACTCCATGCACATGAATTGGAAAAATAAACATAGTTAAAATGTCCATACTACCTAAAGCAATCTACAGATTCAATGCTATCCCAATCAGAATCCCAAAAACATTCTTCACAGAAATTGAACAAAGAATCCTAAAATTCACATGGGGCAACAAAAGACCCCGAATTGCTAAAGCAATCCTGAGCAAGAAAAACAAAGCCGGCGGAATCACAATCCCCGATTTCAAAACATACTACAAAGCTACAGTGATCAAAACAGCATGGTACTGGTACAAAAACAGGTCCACAGATCAATGGAACAGAATTGAAAGCCCAGAGATAAAACCACACATCTATGCACAGCTAATCTTCGACAAAGGAGCAGAGGGCCTACAATGGAGAAAAGAAAGTCTCTTCAACAAATGGTACTGGGAAAACTGGACAGCCACATGTAAAAGAATGAAAATTGACCATTCTTTTTCACCATTCACAAAAATAAACTCAAAATGGATCAAAGACCTAAAGATTAGGCCTGAAACAATAAGTCTTCTGGAAGAGAATATAGGCAGTACACGCTTTGACATCAGTTTCAAAAGAATCTCTTCGGACACTATAACTCCTCAGTTGAGGGAAACAATAGAAAGAATAAACAAATGGGACTTCATCAGACTAAAGAGCTTCTTTAAGGCAAGGGAAAACAGGATTGAAACAAAAAAACAGCTCACTAATTGGGAAAAAATATTTACAAGCCACTTATCCGACAAAGGGTTAATCTCCATAATATACAAAGAACTCACACGGCTTAACAACAAAACAAAAACAACCCGATCAAAAAATGGGCAGAGGACATGAACAGACATTTCTCAAAAGAAGATATGAATATGGCCAATAGACACATGAAAAGATGTTCATCATCGCTAATCATCAGGGAAATGCAAATCAAAACTACACTAAGATATCACCTTACATCTGTTAGATTGGCAAAAACATCCAAAACCAAGAATGACAAATGTTGGAGAGGTTGTGGAGAAAAAGGAACCCTCATACACTGTTGGTGGGAATGCAAACTGATACAGCCACTATGGAAAACAGTATGGAGATTTCTCAAAAAGTTAAAAATAGAAATACCCTATGACCCAGCCATCCCATTACTGGGTATCTATCATAAGAACCTGAAATCAGAAATCCCAAGAGTCCCTTGCACCCCTATGTTCATCGCAGCATTATTTACAATAGCCAAGACATGGAACCAACCTACATGCCCAGAAACTGATGATTGGATAAAGAAGATATGGTATATATACACAATGGAATACTACTCAGCCATAATAAAAGACAAAATTGGCCCATTCGCAGCAACGTGGATGGACCTCGAGGGTATTATGTTAAGCGAAATAAGCCAGTCAGAGAAAGACGAACTCTCTATGACTCCACTCATAGGTGGAAGTTAATATATTGACAAGGAGATCTGATCGGTGGTTACCAGGGAAAAGGCGGGGGGGGGGAGAGGGCACAAAGGGGGAAGTGGTGTACCCACAACATGACTAACAATAATGTACAACTGAAATCTCACAAGGTTGTAATCTATCATAACATTAATAAAAAAAAAAAAGGGTAATGGGGGCTGGCCCTGTGGCCAAGTGGTTAAGTTCCCACGCTCCGCTTCAGCGGCCCAGGGTTTCACCGGTTCGGATCCTGGGCGCGGACGTGGCACTGCTCATCAGGCCATGCTGAGGCGGCGTCCCACATAGCACAACCAGAAGCACTCACAACTAGAATATACAACTACGTACTGAAAGGCTTTGGAGAGATGAAAAAAAAAAATGGGTAATAGGAAGAAAACAAAATGACTTTAAAAATTTTCCTTTAGCAGAGGACATCAGCATCATGACAGAATAAGACATTACTCCTTTTCATCCACCTTTTTAACAATTAATTAGGCATTCATCCACAAACAAAAGTGCCTCTAGGGGATCCAGCACCACATGCCCAGGAAGCCAGGAGGAGTCTTACCCACATGTGCATCTAGTAATAGGCAGACAGATCTCAGTCCAGGCTGCAGAACAGAGCCAGTGAACTTGCATTCACCCTTCTCAGCTGCAGTCAAGGAAAACCTGGAGATGCTGACCTGGGCAGATACTGATGGACAAGAAAGAATTTGTAGAAATCCAGCCCTCACAAAGGGAGATTCCAGATGCCACTGGAGCAGAAAATAAACCCAAACAAACGAGTTTGGACACACTGAGAGGGTAAGAGAAACTTTGTCAGCGTTGACCCTCCCCCAACATGACATAGCATGGGGCTGAACTATCTGGCAGCATCCTCTCTGAAGAGGGAAAAGGAGTGGTGAGTTCCTGCCCAGCTGCCCCTGCTGTGTGAGATGCTGCTGGAGGAACCCATTTCTCTCCAGCAGCACCCAGAGTACTGAGGCAGGACCTCCATGACTGGCAGGAGGGAGATTAGGCAAGAGGCAGATAAGAATATCACAAGGCATTGAAGGGACACAGTTCCTGCTGACTGTGCTCAGGACTTTAGCAGGAAGTCCACCCATGACCCTATTCTCCTGGAGGGTCAGAGGTAGACGTCCTGCTAAAGTCCTGAGCAAGGAGAACCTTACCTGACAATCTCCCCACCGAGCCCACAGGCACCCCCAATGCCCTGAATGCTAAACATATACCTCCCCCTACTGAGACTAGCTTCTTGTACGTGCTCCCAAGGGAAGCAGCAAGTCTGGTAAAAGCAGTACTATCAGAAAAAGAGACCAGTATCAATGAGCAAGAGAGAAACCACAAACCTGAGCTATAGTGCCACCTTCTGGAAAACAAAGGAGGTTAACAGCAGCTAGCCCAGTGGGTTGTAAGAACCAGAGAAGCCATAAAAGTTTAAGATTTGTGTCACAAGAAGAAGCAAGAAGAGTGGAGCAGGTATAACCATAGCACCGAGAAAACCCCAGATATAATAGGACCAATGAACAGTTTACCCAATCTGAGACAATTAGTAAAGATTTGAGGAGGTGCATGCTACTTCAAATGCTAAAGCAGCAATGCAAATCTACAAGGAACATGAAGAATCAAGGAAACATGTCATCACCAAAAGATAACAACAATTCTCCAGTAACTAAGCTAAAAGGCATGGAATTTAGTGATCTAGTTGATAAAGAATTCAAAACAGCTGTTTCAGGAAACTGAAGGAGCTACAAAAAAAACACAGACAATTGAACAAAATACATGAACAAAATGAGAAATTTACAAAGAACTAGAAACCATAAGAAAGAAGCAAACAAATTCTGGAGCTGAAGAATTCAATGAATGAAATGAAAAATGCAATAAAGAGCATCTACAACAGAGAAGATCAAATGGAAGACAGGATACGTGAGCTAGAGGACAGGAACTTGGAAATAACCCAATCAGAAGAGAACAAAGAAAAAAGAATGAAAAAGAGCACAGAAAGTCTACATGATCTATAGGATGCCATCAAACATACAAACAGTAGAATAATTGGGGTTTGAGAAGGAGGAGAGAGGGAAAAGGAGGCAGAAGGTTTCTTTAAAGAACTAGTAGCTAAGAACTTCCCAAACCTAGGGATATACTTGGACAACCAAGTTCATGAAGCTAAGAGATCACCCCATTACCTCAATGCAAAGAGACCCTCACCAGGATATATCACAATGATACTGTCAAAAAAAAAAACATATACAGAGAATCCTTAAAGCAACCAGAGAAAAAAAGACTATAATCTACAAAGGAACTATCAGTTCTTTTGGCTATCAGTGGATTTCTCTAAAAGAATCAAATGACATATTCAAAGTGCTGAAAGAAAAAAACTGCCAGCAAGAATACTCTCTCCAGCAAGTTACCTTTCAGATATGAAAGAGAAATAAAGGCTTTCCCAGATAAACAAAAGCTGAGGTGGTGCATCACCACTAGCCCTGCCTTAGGAGAGATGCTGACAGGAGCTCTTCAAGCTGAAATGAAAAGACACGAATCAGTGACACGGAAACATATGAGAGTAAGCTACATGCTGACAAAGGTAAATATACAGTCAGATTGAGAAAACTCTAATTCTGTACTAGGACGGTGCATTAACCACTTAACCATAATGTAAAGGTTAAGGGAAAAAAGTGTTAAAAATAACTATAGCTCCTATACTTTGTTGACAAACATGCAAAATAAAAAGAGGTAAATTGTGACATCAAAAATATAAAAGGTGGGGCCAGCCCCGTGGCCAAGTGGTTAAGTGTGTGCACTCAGCTTTGGCGGCCCTGGATTTCGCCAGTTCAGATCCCGGGCACGGACCTAGCACTGCTCATTAAGCCACGTTGAGGAGGCGTCCCACACAGAAGAACTAGAAGCACATACAACTAGGATATACAACTACGTACTGGGGGGCTTTGGGGAGAAGAAAAACCAAAAAAAGAGGAAGATTGGCAACAGACGTTAGCTCAGGGCCAGTCCTCCAAAAATATATACATATTTTTTTATATAAACATATATAAAAGGGTTGACCTTTGTATGCAACAGAAGTTATGAGCTTAAAGTGGACTGAGATGTTTTATGTAAGCCTCATGAAAACCACAAAGCAAAAACATAGAGTAAATTCACAAAAAAGAAAGGGAAAAACAGAGCATACCACAGTGTAAAATCACCAATTTACAAAGAAAGGAGAAACAGAGGACAAAAGAAGCAATGAAAAACAAAACAACCAGAAAGCAATTAATAAGATGGTATTAATAAGCCCTTACACATCAAAAAATACTCTAAGTGTAAGCGGACTGAATTCAACAACCAAAAGGCAGAGAGTGGCTGGATGGATAAAAAAACAAGACCCAATGATATGAAGCCTACACGAGGCTCACTTCAGATTTAAGGACACACACATCGCCTCAAAGTGAAGGGATGGAGAAAGATATTCCATGCAAGTGGAAACCAAAAGAAAGCGAGAGTACCAATACTTACATGAGACAAAATAAACTTTAGGCCAAAAACACTAACAAGAGACAAAGATCATAATATATTGGATAAAGGGGTCAATTCATCAAAAAGATATAACAATCATAAATCTGTACCCACCCAACATTGGAACACCTAAATATATTAAGGAAATATTAACAGAACTGAAGGGAGAAACAGACAATAATAGTAGGGACATCAATTCCCTGCTTTCAGTAATGAATAACCGAGACAGGAAATCAACAAGGAAACACTGGACTTGAATCATACATTAGACCACTAGATCTAACAGACATTTACAGAACATTCTGTCCACAGCAGCAGAATACACATTCGTCTCAAGTGCACATGGAACATTCTCCAGATTAGACCACAGGATAGGCCACAAAACAAGTCTTAGCAAATTTAAGACTGAAATCATACCAAGTATCTGTTCTGACCACAATGGTATGAAACTAGGCATCAACAACAGAGAAATGCTGGGAAAAATACAAATATGTGGAAATTAAACAACAATCCTGAACAACAAATGGGTCAAAGAAGAAATCAAAAGAGAAGTCAAAAAATATCTCAAAACAAGTGAAAATGGACACACAACATACTGAAACCTACTGCAAAACGAGTTCTGAGGGGGAAATTTATAGCAATAAATGCACAGACTAAGAAAACAGAAAGATTTCAAACAACCTACCTTTACACCTTAAGAAACTAGAAAAAGAAGAAGAAACTAAGCCCAAAGTTAGCAGGAGCAAAGAAATAACAGAGATCACAGTGGAAATAAATGACACAGAGACCAGAAAAACAATAGAAAAGATCAACAAAACTAAGAGCTGATTTTTTGAAAAGATAAACAAAACTGACAAACCTTTAGTTACACTAAGAAAAAAAGAAGACAAAATCAGAAATGAAAGAAGAACATTAAAACTGATACCACAGAAATACACAGGATCATAAAAGACACTATGAACAATTATATGCCAAAAATTGGATAACCTAGAAGAAACGGATACATTCCTAGCAACATACAACCTACCAAGACTGAATCAGCAAGAAAATCTGAACACATCAATAACTAGCAAGGAGATAAAATCAGTAATCAAAAACTTCCCAACAAAGAAAAGCCCAGGACCAGATGGCTTCACTGGTGAATTCCAGTAAAAATTTAAAGAAGAATTAATATCAAACATTCTCTAACTCTTCTAAAAAATTTAAGGGGAGAGAACACTCCCTAACTGATTTTATGAGGTTGGCATTACCCTGATACCAAAGCCAAATAAGAATACTACCAGAAAACTAAACTACAGGCCAATAGCCATGATGAATATACATGCAAAAATAAAAAATATTAGCAGGGGCCGGCCCCGTGGCCAAGTGGTTAAGTTCACGGGCTCCACTTCAGCAGCCCAGGGTTTTGCCGGTTCGGATCCTGAGCGCAGACATGGCACCGCTCACCAGGCCATGTTGAGGTTGCGTCCCACATGCCACAACCAGAAGGACCCACAACTAAAAAAATATACAACTATGTACTGAGGGAATCTGGAGAGAAAAAGCGAAAAAATATATATATATTAGCAAACCAAATACAATATATTAAAAACATTATATCCTATACACAAAACAATAAATGTGATACATCACATTAATAGAATGAAAAATAAAAATCATATCATCATCTCAATAGATGAAGAAAAAGCATTTGACAAACTACAACATCCTTTCATGATAAAATCCCTCAACAAATCGGGAATAGAAGAAACATAATAAAGGCCATACACAACAAACCCACAGCTAACACCATACTCAACAGGGAAAGACGGAAAGTTTTTATTCTGAGATCAGGAACAAGACAAGGGTGCCCACTCTCACCACTCTTTTCTTTTTTTTAAAGATTGGTACCTGAGCTAACAACTGTTGTTGGTCTTTTTTTTTTTTTTTTTTTTAATTCTTCTCCCCAAAGCCCCCCAGTACATAGCTGTAGATTCTACTTGTGAGTGCCTCTGGTCATGCTATGTGGGACACCGCCTCAGCATGGCCTGATGAGCGGTGCCATGTCCGCACCCAGGATCCGAACCAGCAAAACCCCGGGCCGCTGAAGTAAAGCGCATGAACTTAACCACTCAGCCGCAGGGCCAGCCCCCTCACCACTCTTATTAAACATAGTACTGGAAGTGTTAACCAGAGCAAATAGGCAAGACAAAGAAACAGACATCCAAATCAGAAAGGAAAAGGTAAAATTGCCATTATTTGTAGATGATATGATCTTACATATAGAAAATCCTGAAGACAATCAAAAAACTGTTGGAACTAACCAACAAATTCAATAAAGGTGCAGGATATAAAATCAATGTACAGAAACCAGTTGCATTTCTATACACTAATAACAAAACATCTGAAAAAGAAATAAAGAAAACTATCCCATTCACTTTAGCATCAAAAACAAAATAATTAGGAATAAATTTAACCAAGAAAGTGAAAGATCTGTATAATGAAAACTACAAGAATTTGATGAAAGAAATTGAAGATGACACAAACAAATGGAAAGATATCTCATATTCATGGATTGGAAGAATTAATATGTTAAAATATACTATCCAAAGCCATCTACAGATTCAATGCAATTCCTATCAAAAATCCGAGTGCATTTTTCACAGCAATAGAAAAATCAATC